TTATTTTATATTTGTGCTCAAGGTTAAACTTTAAATGTGAGTCATTTTCCCAGAATGCAGATACACATCTGGCAAGATGTTTATACCTAGTCGGGTGAAACCAACACAAAACACTTTGCAGGCACAAATTTCAAGCAGGAGTCTGGCTCAGATCCAGCGCACCTTGCATCAGTGTCTCATTGCAGTAGATGAGACATCGACTCCCCCCTCCCTCCCACACCCTCACCCTTAAATGTCTCATGTAACGAGTCTTTGATAGGATCCTCACAGCAGTGCTGTCTCCTCAGTCACGCATGCTGCAAAGAGCCTTGGTAAATATTGAATTGTCAAGTAAATATTGAATCCATGATTGACTGAACAGCTCAATCTGAAGACTGAGCTGCTATGAGGAGCAGACACTCATAAAGCGACTGATAGGATTACTAAATAGTGCTCGTCTCCATCGCCCCCTCTCCCTGGGCCCTGCCCTGGCAGGCTGCTGGCAGGGCCATTATTCTAATCTGAATTAAGCAATTTGGTGCAGGAGGGACCTTGATGTTTAGAAACAACCTTTAAAAGGCACATGACGAGGACCTCAGGCCACATTTTCTGAACTTTTCTAAACTAACCAGTTTAGGGGTGAATTATTTAAAATAATACCCTCTTTTCTAGCAAATTCAAAAGTTTTCCTGAAAGCAATTCTCCTTGCTTTTAAAAGGCAAGAGTGCTCCTCAAAGTAGAACCCATTTTGGAGGGGCAGAGCTGAGTTTAAATGGAGATTAGAGTACTTTTTGTACATACAAACTGTTTCCTACAGGCACTCTGCAGCCATGCTCTGAATTACAATCTCAGACAGTTATTGTCACTCCAACATCTCACTGCGAGATGAGCGCAAAAAAAAAAACTCCCCCCTATATTCGCCCTTACCTCTTATTTCATTCCTATTCTAGGCACTCCTGTCATACTCTACATGATCTTTCTCCAGTCACAGAAATAATATCAGGTCACCGCGGCTGTGACATGCTCTCTGTCACAGCTTTTCAAGTGAAAATGAAATGAAAATGATTTTTCTTTTTCAAAGTGGAAGATATTTTTTTAATCCTCTATAATTTCTTATTAAATTGGCAAAAGGCTCATTTCTGGTATTTGGGCGCAGTGTCACCCTAATCTCAACAACAGTGTCTCTGCTTTCGTAGAATGACTCCACTGTGATCTCATAAATTTAGTTGATAAACTGTATTGTGGTTTTTGGGGAGGATAAACATTATCTGATACACAGACAGTGCCATACATCAATGCCAACAGGACAGAGTTTAAACAAGAATTTTTAAACTATACTCTCAGATTTACTGCAGATTTTCATGTTTTATCAACTGAGGTATCTGGCATCCGACTTTTGATGGATTTTAAGGTGTTTGCCCCAGAAACCCACTTTTCTTTTTTTTCTTACCATGACTGTCGTGGTGGCTGATTGTATTCATTTTGAAGAATCCACCTTTTCTGCTACAGTAAAGGCATTTCACAGTGCATTGCCTCGTAAACTGAGGCCTCTATTTCCCTGAAACAGGCTGCGAGCACAAACATAGGGTCACTGTGGCAGGTGGGTGTGACAAACTAATTCTTGGTGTGCATTGCAATATGTAAAAGAGGCTGAAAATGTATAAATAAATGATTAGTAGGCGGAATAGATTATTCGCAGGTGGCATTAGGATGGGTTTCAGTTTTGGCCGGTCACGTCAGCTCCTCATCCCGTTTAAAAGCGGCCGTCAGATTCCTAATGAGCCGAGAGAAAACTGCCTTTCTCTGGAAAGAGCAGATCCCAGAGCAGTGACACGGTATACACGAGCCGAATATGAATAGACAGCATCCCTAATAGGCTGATTAGTCCTCTTTTTATGCAATATAATACAAGCTGTTTCTATTTGCGCTGTACTTTGCTCATACTTTTTTATGTTCACATGATTAAATATACTGTATTCAGTTCGTTATATCTGTATACTCTACATTTATATGCACACAATCAGGCTTCAGCTGCAAATACTGTGATAAAAACAATAGTCTGTTTAAACCATTTACATGATTACATAACCTGGGAGCCCCCCATAATAATAATAGCGCATTATTATTATAATACCCCAAACT